TGAATTTTCGCTTTTATGACAAACACATACGCACACACAAACATAAATTAGCATATGCGCACATGTTGCATGGTGCTTAGCGTCATGCGCTCAATTTGAAACCAATTACATAATTTAATAGACATGACACTCGCTCTGTCACGCCAGCCAAATGCTTTCCAAAAACTATTCGCCAAGGTAACATTGCTATTATAACCACGCTGCATGCTGTGCATTTAGGCGTGAAAGCGCGCACACACACAATTCGCGCGCATTCATTAGATTCTGTTGACTGGACTTTGGGCTCATCCGTTGGCTTGACATTTTGCAGTTGAGATAAAAATTGATACATCCTTTTGTGCGTTTGCACTGACATAAACAATTTCCATAACATAATTTTAGGTGTTTAGCTTATATACTGTTGTTGTTTACTTTGTTTTGTCATTGTTCTATTGAACTCTGGCAGCTGGAAAAATTAACGGTGACGCATGTATGTATATGTCAAGGCTGTAATTTTACAATAAAATAAATTTAATTGAAGCTTTTGAAATTCAGAAACGAGTTTTTTTTTAATGTCGATAGATATATGGGAATATAAAAGAGTATTTGTACAATATCACAAAGTTCACTATGACTAATTCATTTTGAAATGCGGGCTTGGAGTAACCCAATATGAAAATGACATATCGGGTTATAAGCGTGCTCTCCTCTTATTAAAAAGTGCTTATAGTACGAATATGCTAGTAGTGAAAGATATTAAATGTCAAATTTTAGATAATTTTTAACCTCTCTGACTCCAGTTACAGCTCATAGTGGCCTTTACAAATGACAACTGTCTTACAATGATGAGTCATACAAGTTCATGCCGGTCTTCCTTAACCTTTAAATACCATTTACAAGTAGGGTTATGTGAAAGTATTAGTGAAGAGTTGAAATCGGTCTATTCCTGCTACCAAGATTCAACCCTATTCTTAGCCATCATTAACAAAATGGTTTAATTAACATTTAATTAAAAGGTTTTTTTAAATTTTTATCCTGCAGTCGGATTAAACAAAAAAAAAATTGTATCCCAAAAACCAGATTAAAAATTTATTTATATATTTTTTATTTTTAGTTTTTAATCCCAACTACCGGTTTGAAAAATAGGAGGGATAAATTTTAGTCGCAAGCATATAATAAAGACGTAAAAAATAATTTGATTTGAACCAACACTTTTTCGCGTTCTTTCAAATCAATAAATAATATTTTCAATTTTTAATTCCATACATCCTGTATTAAAAAATAAATATTAAATTTTGAATCCCAAAGTTTTTTTGCAACCCTGCTCCGATTAAACTCTTCCCGATTTCATCAGCATTTGTTAAGAAACTGTTGCCTAAAACCTATATTAATTTTTCCATGAAGTTTGTAACACCCAGAAGGAAACGTCGGAGACCATATAAAGTATATACATAAATGATCACCGTGACGAGCTGAGTTAATTTAGCCATGTCCGTCTGTCTGTCCGTCCGTCTGTCCGTCCGTCTGTATATACGCGAACTAGTCCCTCAGTTTTTAAGATATCGATCTGAATATTTGCACCTGTACTTTTCTCACAAAGAAGCTGCTCATTTGTCGGAACCGCCGATATCGGATCACTATAGCATATAGCTGCTTGTATGGAAAACTCTTTAATTTGACGAGGTATCTTCACGAAATTTGGCATGTATTATTATTTAAAGCATTAATCTAATCTCCGAAGAAATTGTATGGATCGGATGACTATAGCATATAGCTGCCATATTAACTGAACGATCGGAGTAAAGTGCTTGCATGGAACATTTTTTTATTTGACAAGATATTTTTATTTCACGAAATTAGGCACGAGTTATTGCTTAAGGCAACAAATTATTCTCCATAGAAATTGGTCAGATCAGATCACTATATCATATAGCTGTCATACAAATTGAACGTTCGGAATCCAGTTCTTGTAAGGGGCCTTTGTTTTTGTGAAGGGTATTATAGCTTCGGCGCAACCGAAGTTAACGTTTTTTCTTGTTTTTTTTTTTTGATTTAGTAAATTGTAAAAACACACACTGAAGTTGCCACCAATGGCGATGATAGAAAGTGTCGCGTTGTTTTCAATTGCTGCTCAATTATTTACGATGATTAAATGCTGTGTTTTGCATAATTAGTTATTTTAAGTGACAATGGGCTGGGACCTAAAAACAATGCGAACAACAACAAATCACGGATTTTTTTTGGTATTTTTTTGTATGGTAATACTTTGAAGGTTATACCCAAATAATGTACAATTCACCAATAGTACATGTCAAATATCTGAAATAGTATATATTTTTACTCCCCCCCTTTTATCGATCATTTTCAAAACTCTGCTGTCATAATGTGGTCCATATACTGTTGTGTATTGTTACGAGATTCACTAAACCTCAACTTATTTTACTATTTGTTAAGTTATTTTGCAACGGTATGGTTGATTCCTGAGCAGGAGTTCAAAACGCAAGGAGAGGCAAAAAACAAATATTTCTTATCGATGTTAGTGTGTTCGCAGTCAAATTGAAAAAAATCTATGTATATAGAGAGAATTCATATAAAAATGTTGTAAATAAGTATCTATAAACACCTAAAAATGTTGTAAATAAGTATCTATAAACCCTTTTCAGCAGCTCTAATATGCTCATGATTCATTAGAAGAGTTCAAATTAATTTATCTCTTGTTACGAGAGGGAGCACTCTTGGGGTATATCATCACATCCGAACATAACAGTTTTTTTAGAACTTTCGAAACTAACAGTATACATATTTTAGCTAAATAGTTGCCTAAAAGAGAGGGCGCTCTTCTCCTCTTGCCAGTTTGGCATTGCGTTGGAAATTTTAATTTGCAATTAGTTTTTGAGCAAATAACCGCAAAGAGATTTTTCACGCCAATTTTAATTTGTGCAATTGATAATCATCAGAAATTACCAAATGTTATGCAGCTGTTTGTCGGAGAGGCGTGGGAAAACGCACATTACATAACGGTCAATGGCTGTCTGCTTAAACGCTATTTGGGGGTGTCTGCGTATCCGTTCAAATGCATAAGCGAGTGTGTGCGGTGTGCGGGGGTATGCAGGAAATGAAAATGGCGTTGAAATGAGGAGGCTGAGAGACGCTTACAATTTACTAACGGAAATTACAATTGCATATTTTAATGGTTTTAGGCCAAATATTGGATGGGTGTGCCGAATGTTTGATGATTTCCAATGATAGCGAGCAATTGGCGAGAGGTGCGTCGGAACGAGAGGGAGCAGGGATGTTGAACAACGAGGTAAGCGCAGCGGAGCGGATACGGCGTGTGTCTGGCGGATATGTTGATTAATTAATGGCATTGCATAGTATTTGTATTTTAAATGCATTTCATGATTATATTTTGTAAAGTACTTGAACCCTGCAAAGCTCATTGGTAAATTGACTAAAAGTCAAATATAAATTTACAATTTGTGTAATCAGTTTGAAATGTTGCCCGTCCATTTGTTTTTAGCTGCATTTCTAACTCTTGTTTATTTTTTTATATAAATATTTTCAATAAATGTGGATATTAACAAGAGTTACTTTAGAATATTAAAGGGTTATAAAATAAAGTAGTTGGTCGATAGTCATCATATTCAGTGGAAAAATAAGTTTTCATAATCTAGGTTATATGAGCATCAATAAGATGACTGACACAGCCAGGCGGATAGAAATCGTAAAGGAACAAATTTAGTGGTAAGGTTAGTTGAAGTTAGTTTCAAAAACACCGAAGCGAAAAATATAGGATGGTCAAAGTGGTCAGATCAGCTTAAGATTCAGTCGCCACTTGAAGGATGAAGATGCATTGATTTGTGACTAAGATTACTTCTGAGTGATAATTTCCATATACCAAAATATTTGTGATTGGTATTGTCGACATAAAGGACCCAATGTCTGAAATATTCATTCACTCGCAGAAAAAAATAAAGGACTGCTTTCTTATTCTATTCGGTTTAAAAGCTACTATAATGACTCGTTTAGAGGAAATTAATTTATGATCAGGCCACACTATAATAAAGTAAGCGTAAACTAATGAAAATGACAAAATTTATATATTAGAAAGATAAGGAAAATACATTTACATATATATTAGAAATTAAAAAATTTTTCTTACTATCAAGTGATAGTCACATGTTTAGTCGAACATCACACAGATTAATTGTGAGCTATACTTTCGTAGTTGTTCATTAGCGGACTATAGTTATTCCTAGCTCTGGTGCTTCGATTGAAAAATACTTGCTTTCATGGAACTACTTCCGAAGCCGCGTAGTTGCCAATTTTAGAGCCTATCTAATTCTATCCCATTCCAATCACATCTAGAGAGCAAACTTACCTGAACGCAGCCATTGGATTGCGTTGGTGGGTATCTATCATAGTTGAATCGGCATCACTTTGGAATAATTTTTGTTTTTATTCTTTTCTCGTTTCGTTTTTGCTATTTTGCAGTTGACTTTTTTTGTTTTTGCAGTGCTTTACTGCCATTACTTTGGCTATAAACCGATCAACTCAATGCATATTTAACTTTACATTCAGTTTTCTTACTTATTTCATAAATATATAACTCTTAGTTTTTGTCTGCTTCATTTGTTTGTGGTAAATATCAACTTATTAATTAATTTATTTACTTATACGCCATAACTAACTGAATAATCTTAACTTTTTGCACAGAAATAATTTATGCGTTGCACATTTTTACAAGTGTCTAGTAATAATACTTCATTACAAATATACGCATCTCCATTTCATTATTAATCATATTTACCTCGCAATTACATAATTCATGATTGATTTTTACATAATAATTCATACATATTACACAGTTATGAGTTATTCGTATGCGAAATTAACCAACAAACACCTAAATAATTACTTGCTTATGTCGCTTTATTTACTTTGTATTTTGATTTCTACTTTTCAATATTAAATATTTTCAACTGAATTGCACACATTTACTAACATATTGCAGCCTTTGCACTAAAATCTAGGTTATTTAGTCACTAACGTACTTATTAGCTAATTGCTAGGCGTTTCAACTCAAAACATATTTTGGCCGCCTAATTTACTCACTGGGATTAATCTCTAATGATTAGCGTCTACTGAGAGCAACTCAATTTTCTCCTTGTCTAATTTGCTTTTTGTTTAATGTACAATTTCTATGTTAACATATATATTTACCGTTTTAATATGCTATGCTCAAGAACAAACCAATAGTTTGGCATGTGTGATAATGGTTGAGGTTGTTGGGGTTTCAAACAGCCCCTTAATACAGTAAAAGCCGCTACGAGTAAATTAAGCACTGTCAATGAATTACTTCTAAATTTATCGCAATAAGAGGTATGCGAACGAGTTCTTCTAGTTGCAATATTTTTGGAAAATATAAGGTTCATTATTAAACACCTCTGAAACTAATTAAAACAGAGAATAAAAGCAGCTTGCTGAAAATTAAATATTTTACTCTAGAACAGGGTTAAGTTTCAACAAACATATTGAGAGCAGAATTTAAGGTTTTCTGTGGTAAACTCAGTATTTCTGATTACAATAAACTCGAGTTGGTGGCGCAACGTGAACGGTTACTAAATAACAACTGAACCTTTTGAAGTGGAATATGTTATTAAATGAGACAAATATTTTTAGTGTTACTGAGCACGAACATTTGGTAGCTAACGCTGGGAAGTGTTACACACAAAATGAGAAAGTCAACAGAAACTGCCTTCTATATGCGTTTACAACATTATAGGAGTAGCGGAAAACTTTTTCAGTTTGAGTTTACAAACCGCACGAATGAAATTCTGTGTAAGAGACAGCAAAAGCAAGTCAACGTGGCAACAATACCATGGCAGCATTTTTTGAAATATGCATTTTGCTTGACTACTATCAAAAGAGAAGACTGGTTAGTGGAGAGAATCGTTTCATCAACTTGAAAATATTTACATTTAGCCTACAGTTATGGATGGTGTAGACCATGCTGTGATATAACACATTTCTTTTTTTTTAGTCATTGAATTATTAAGCTACCCCTCCAAATATCTGAATCTCACCCTCAAAAACTTGTGCAGATTTTTTCGTATATTTTTTATCACTGATTTTATGTTTTTTAAAAGAGAAGTTATTAGATTTTGAAGTAACGGTAACACTACTCATAAACTAGTTACATTAGGATGAATGCATTACTTCATGCATTATCTTGCATAGCCGTTGTTCTATGGGTGATAGTGAGTATGAGTCAAGCAGAAGCGGTTAATTATACATAATTATAGTTCGGACTAATGAGTAGATTTATTGAGTATATAAGTATACGTAGAGTTCTGTTTACTGGAGAGTTTTTACTTGGGTTTTTTTTCTTATTCTTCGTAAGTAACTATATATGCATGTGTGTATGTATATGTATTTACGGTGTCCATTAATTAATTTTTGCTAGTTATTTTGTAGTTATTGTCCGCCCATACAGTTTGCATATTAATTCATTATTATGATTTCTATTTAGCTACAATTATTGTATAGTTTCTGTGTGAGTGTGTATGCAGAAGCATGTTGGAGTGTGGGTATACTCATACGTGACCCAAATGCGCACACACATACACACAAATGCTGCTTGGTATATAACCTGTTAGTATTGATTTGTTTGTATTTTTTCCACATTAATTGTATGAAGCTTTCGAGTTGCGCGTAGTATACCTGATTCCACAACATATTCGTATGTATGTAATTTGTTAATTATTTCATTATTTTTTTTTTACGTAGTGTCGCCAAACTGAATCGAATTACAATTTAATTTAATAACGTACAGCTGCGAATACTTTAAATAGTTTTCACACAGGGCATTCATATGCGCAACCACACACACACACACGTTCACAAAATGTATCTATGCGTGTGTGCGAAGTATTGCATTTGTGTGCATATCGGCATAATAATGACAAATGTGTGAAATTAAGCGTGGAAAAGAGCGAATTCGGTGCGAGCATTGTGCAGCGTTGAAATTGGCAGCAACAGTTGCAGCTGCCGCATTGACGCATCCACCGCATTACGGCTATATTCGCGTTTGCCGCGCCCCGCATGGTTTTCGTAATAACGAATTCGATTATTATCGCGTACATTTATTGCTGCACGCAAATTGCCGACACTCACCGCAGCGCTTGAACATATTGCTGTTGTTTGTCGTGTGCCATTGTTGCCACAATTAAAGTTGTCACTTGTTGCCGTGTTGCTGTTGTTGTTGCAGCTGCAATTGTGACCACAAATGCTGCGTTCATAATTATTCTGCATACATCTGCAATCTCTCAGCGCCCCAATGCTGCTGTTGTTGTTGTTATTTTCACAATTACTGCTATTCGCGGCACTGGTGTTGTGCGCATGCGTGTCGTTGTATTTATTACCGTTGTCTTTACACTTATCGCAAATGTAGTTGCTTATGTCTCCAATACTATTACAGTCACTAACGTTATGATTACCATTACCATTATTGTTATTGTTATTAATATTATTGTAATTTATGTGCATGTATACTGTGTTGGGTCAACGAATCAATAAGCCAGTGTCCGGTGACCAGCGATTCGCTCGATAATACATGTCCTTGTACATGGTCGGACACGAGTTTTGATTCTGCAAATAGTGGTAAGTACATTGTGGCAGTTGCATTAATGTTTCATCGCAAGTTTTCTTTAAAATTGTTTATCGCAATATTTCAGTGTTGATTTGCTGTCGTCTTACTCACCTTATTACGCTTAAAGTCTATATTTGTCCTTACGGTTCTATGGTGTAGTCCTTGCACGGGACGCGCATTATTGCCTAGTGGAGCTTTCGGTGTACTCTCGGAGCCCTGCATCAGTCGTCGGAGTTGGTACAACTGTAATCAAATGCAAGAAGTGCAATTACTGTAAAGTCTGAGAACAATAGTCCTATAATATTGTTGTTTTCCCATAGTTAAATTTCTGTCTAAAATATTCTTTTAGGAAAATAATCAATGACTGACAAGATATATTTAATCCATTGTAATGTGGCAGGTATCCCAGAACAAAAACTTCGGTTGCATTGAAGTTATAATACCCTTCAGAAGCGCAAAATATTCCCTACAAGAACTTAATTTTGATCAGTCAAGTTGTATGGCAGCTATAAGCTATAGTGACTTGATCTGAACAATTTACTCGGAGATTGCACTATTACCTTGGACAATATTCCATGCCAAATTTGGCGAAAATATCTCGTAAAATTAAAAAAAAAATTCCATACAAGAACTTGATTCCGATTCTTCGGAGATTGGCCCATCGACTCAACTTTTATTTCTATATATAATTTATAGGGCTTCCGACGTTTCCTTCTGGGTTTTTACGAACTTCGAGGCAATCTTAATATACGCTGTTTAGGGTATATATAGGAAGTAAACTTTCTGAAACTTCTGATCTAATCAGCTTAGTATAGTTTTGTTCCTATGCAGACTTTTCCAAGGTTATCTACCCTTCTTAATTACCATACATTAGGACTTATATAGTGGGGAGAAGTTGATATATCGTCTAGTTGATATATTGTAATTTATTATAAGGTAGCATATTGGGTCCTATATCTTTTTCAAACCAAGAATTAACGTAACTTCAGTTGTACCGAAGCTATAATACCCTTAACAGATGGTTAGACAGAGAGGCAAACGTGTAATACTGGTATGTACATATATAATATATACTTTAGAGGGCCTCTTACGTGTTTTTCTGGGTGTTACATACTTCGTGGCAAACTTAATATGCCCTGTATAGGGTATTAATATGGTAAGGGATCTGTTTCTATGTTGACATTATTCTATTTATATTTATGGTAGCAAATAATTATGTTTTTTGTGAGAGTAATCTTCAAAGATATTAGCCGGATTATTTTTTCTAAGGTACAATTGGGTATGATTTAGTCCTGAATGAATACATTTAGAGTATAATTCAATGTAAAATTTTTAAACTACCACAACTAGCAAAGATGACATCCTGTTGGGCACGAAAGAGTACAATTAGTCTCTTTATAGGTCATGCTCGCATAAAAGGGGGCAATTCGTTCTACATAAAAAAAACCAAAGGGCCATTAGTGACATGATCTTTTGCGATTATTCGATGGTTCAGCGCGGACTTGTCATTTTTTTTCAGGACTATCACTAATCGAACCTTTTCCAAACTGTAATTGGCGCTCTCTAGCGAAGCTTACAAATAGGGAAGTAAACTCGACAAGGTTCTACCAATGATGACGATTATACCAATGCCTTTAGTAGATAGTGAAGTCATATATTATATGAAGTAAACTTTCGATAATCTCAATTGATACTTATAAAAAAAGTATACTCTACTTTATCATCAGAAAGCAATTAGTAATATATAATATTTAATAGCCCATAACATAAGTAAAAGTTTAAAGTAGAGTTGCAAGCATTTAAGTCAACTGAAAAGTGAATTATGTGGCACAGATATACAAACATATAGATTTTTAAAGCAAATAAAGCTCGTACACAATTATTTAAATTTTTTATTGCTTCGTTAGGCGAATAATTTATTCATTACGATGTTTTTTTCGAGCCGCCCGAATCACTTCCGAGAGTGTAAATATTTAATTTTGAGCTTTTATCGGCCTATAACCAACAGCAACTTTTTGCCAATAACTTAATTTGCATTTAAACACGTGTGTGTACTTATTGGGCTGTATTTTTGAATAGCTATATGATGGTGGGTGTGTGTGTGTGTGATTTGCTGATTGTAAACATTATTGAAATTGTAATTGTTGTGTGAAAGTATGAAAAAATCTTCAATAAAACGCTTTAAACAAATTACAAGCACTTAACACGTAATTACGTTTATATTAAGCGCTAGCGATGTAGGGAAAGTGACCACACATACACTTCCCGCTGGCACTTGGGTTGGCCGGGAACGGGAATGATCGCAACTGTTCGATTCATCGCCTGCATTCACATCATTTATTCATCGTAAAAATGTTTGCTTGCATATTGTCGAAAAAGCCAGATGACCAGAACGTTTCAATTAAATACTACTTTACAACTACATTAAAAATACATAGCAACATACAGTTACGGATTTATTGGAGCAAAACATGTTTGCTTGAAAGGGAAAATACCTCATTGATGACATTTAACAGAACTGTAAAAAGGTGATAAAAGTAACGAGTAGATCCTTAAAACTTTCTTGACTGAGCTTTCAAGTAATTATATCGAACATTGACTAGAAAAGGTTTATTGTAAAAAATCATTATTTTTTAGTGCTGACTCGGATTGTTCAGTAAATTCTTGTGTCAAATATTAGGAATATAACAACTGCTCTAGAGCTGATGGAACATACATATCGTCACTTCTAAGAATATCGGAAAATTAAATTTTTTTTAAAAGTTAATGAAATAAGGGCTTTGTGATTACACAGCCACATCACAATTTGTAAACTGGAAAATTGTAAGAATATCGCAGATTTAACAAATACTTAGATTCTCTGTTTCTCTATTTCACTCGTTATCTCTCAATACACTCTAAAAGCTATTAAATATTGCTTAATTTTAGTGTGAGCTCTTTCATGCTTGGTTTGGCAGCTATAGCAGCTACAGGGAAGAATCAAAGGTAAGACTCTTTTACCTTTAAACTCTATTTTCAGATTCGGAAAGTTTCGGCTGGACCAATCGACTTGAAACTTTCACACGAACTTCTTAGATATGTTTGTCAGGTAATGATCGCAGACAAATTTTAAAATAATTTCGAATTTAAGTTACTCTGATTTTTCACAAAAAAGTCGTTTTTGGGAAGCCGTCGTTTTGTGTTGAATCAAATATTTGACTGTATTCATCTATTGTAATAATAATGTTTTTTTTGTTTTTGTATTTAAGATAATTTTAAGCATAAAAGTCTTTCTCACCGTCTGACACCTTTTTTCGGAGGTCCTTTAGGAGATGGGCTAAGGAATCAAAGCGATTAATTTACAAAAAAATTAATCGCCTTTAATCGCCAATAAATTAATTGAATGAGCCTGAGCTGAAATTCGTATTAAGTAAATGATATAGTTTTAAGTATGATACCAAATAATTGCATTTATTCCATTAACATCGCCACTACGGCATTCATATGTACGTATACACATAGTGTTCAGTTCGTAGTTGCATTTATTGCCTATTTATTTCTGTGCGACAATAAAAATTATACGCAGAATTCAATTTGTAATTTAACCACCGAAATAAACAAATTCGCTGATGCGGTTAATTAAGTTCAATTAGGTTGTAATTATGCGTTCATTGCGCTTTTATGTTCTCACAAACACACTACACACACACCACACACATGTGATTATTTTTTATTAGTCGCTTGGTTTTACCGAGGCTCACGTCAAAACGATTCAATTCAGCGTTTGATACATATGTAGTTAATTATCGCACTAGTCTAGTTTTAGTGTGGTCAAAGGCAATGCTCACCTCTTGCTTTGTGATATAAATGGGTTTGTTTACAATTATCCAAACGGTGCTTTCCCAGCAGCCAGGATGCGTTGTGGATCCTTCGTAGGTGATGTAGTGATCCGTATTTGGCAACAGTGATCGCACTGATATGTGCCTGATGGGTGTGGAAAACCCTAAAAAGGAATAAAATTAATGATTAATTTAAGAGAACGCAAACTTCTGTTATATTGCTGAAAGGTAGTTAATTTTATATACGATTTTTTATTGTGACTGTTGATTATATACATACATACACATTATGTTGATTAAATTATAATAATTAAAAAAATATAATTGTTAGTTCGGTACACCTCCAGCGTTCTATTCGAGGATTATGGGTTGTGCAAGTGGGAGCTCAAACGCTAGAACAGGCAAGAGGGAGTTCTAACCAGTTTCTAGGCACGAGGATTTTGAAAGCTTATCACAGATAATAATACCAAGCACTATTTGAACAATCTTGTACAAACAGTAAGTGAACTGAACTTCTCTGAAAACGATTACATTCCACATGTCACAGCAAGGGTCTGACAACCTGAAACTGGATCTCCCCACATAAGTTCTCTAAATATAACTACTACTCTATACTACTTAAGAAACTTTAAACACTTCAAGTTATTGCCGTCCTTAATAGTTTAAAAGGTAGCGGTAAATTATCGTACACACATACTACTATCGCTATTTGGCTTTTACTTTTTCTAAACATATTCCCATTTTTAGTTTCGTTTTTTATTCTCTATTTATTTGCCTTATTCTACATTTGTAACCCTTGTCCAACTTGAGCGGCGGTTTCCTAGCAGCACCATATTCCATATACTTTCGCCGGCCTGGCGTGACGGTACTGCGGGATTGGTGTTATAGAAAAATTTAACTACCACTTTACTGTTTGTATTTCTTGCAAACCCAATAACAACACACAACAGCATGCCGACTATTACCACTGATTGGCTTTTTTCGCTTCTTCCTTTTTACTTTTCACTTTATTGCGTTGTGGCAACGCTGGCACCTTTAAATGACGCGAGGTGCTGTGCAACCAGCTAGACGACGCGGATTTGCTTGCCATTCGAGTGGCGAAATGCACAACGGAAGGCCGAGTGGCAATTGCAATTGTTGCTGCCCTGTTATTATATTATAAGCGGGCGTTTTTATTGCATTGGCAGCGCATAATTTTGCGCCAACTCGATGGTGGTAAGCGAGTATTAAGACGAGTGACGAGGCGAAAGTTTTGAAGCGCGCTGGCGACACGCTTGTTGTTGCTAATATTGTGAGTGCTTTGAACCACGGAAAGGGCACACGTGCAAACACGCTTAGAATTGTTGCTTTGATTTGTTTTTAGTATTTTATTTCCTTCAAAAGCCGGCTTGTTTGCGTTCTCACACCGACGCGGCTCTTTTACGGTTCGTAATGGCTGTCGTTCAGGCCGGTAGAGGCTCGCTATATTGATGATTTAAACTACGAGAAACAGGAAAGTAAAATCGCCTGCAGAAATAATAACTGCTGCCGGCCGGCCTATATTTGACGCTGACCACCGCACACCCACGCTCTCCCGCTATTCTCTAGACACGCTTGCAGCCGCTGCAGGGCGAATGCTTGCACTCGTTCGTATTCGTATTTGAATTTGCCTTTGCACTTTGTTGACCGGAAATAACTTCCATGTCTTGTTAATTTATTTTTTCGCCACGCACACACACAGCTGTGCTTGGAGTCGCATTTGAAGTGCATGTCGTTGACATTTGAAATCCGCACACACTCCAGCGCCCCGACTGTGTGATTATGCAACACAAATTCAACACACTTACCTCGGTACAAAACCTTGTTGAAGGTGGTGGTAATAATTCGCAATTCGGGGTTTGGCGTATCCCCAATTTGCACCATGAGCGAGAGCGCCACAATGCCCTGTGACTTGTGCTGCGCCTCGGACATATTGTGATAGAGTTCCTTGTTGAAGCCGTAGATTTGTATCTGTGGAAGAGAGCGCACAGCAGAAAGAGAGTGCGCATGGATTAGCGTTAAAGTGAAAAATGCTTGCGTAAACCAACAAGTTTTCACTAGTCAACTGTCAGTTGTCCGGTGTCTCATTTACATATATGTACTTACCTCACCGGGGAAACTGTAACCCTGTATGTAGTGCTCTGACCCCCGACTGTTCTCGGTGCCGTAGTGTATGTAAATTTCCTCGAATTGATAGCGATAGGCGAGAGGGCCACCAGTGATGTTTACCGGCTGCTTTGTGTCCTTGTCGACGCGGAAGACGAGCGATTGACCTGTGTTGTGTAGTGTACCGGAAACCTGTGCGATAACAGCCAACCAACGAACCGACGAGCCAAGACCACCAGCAGTCGGTTAGCCAAACAAGCAGTCAGTCCAAAGAGTCAACCAGCGAATCAGTCAACAAAGTAAAGCGTTCAAACAAACAGCCAGTCGAGCGAGCAGGCAGACAGCAAGCGATGTGACGAAAATTGAAAATAAGAAAGAAGAAGACTTTGCTATATTGATTGTACATATGACTTTTGAACGATTAGTGGGTTGCGTGTCTGTTTGTAGACGGTATGTATTTCACTTTGTGGAAAAAGACAAAAATGGCAATGATATCACAATGTTTATTTTTCAAATGTGTGCTAGCGATGGACTGGTAAGAAGCTGTAGTAACAGAATTTCATAGGAAAGTAGTATAAATTGTCTGATATTTTTGGCTAAAAATTATGCTAAGTTGGGTTGGTGTAGTGTTTCTACGAATTTTGCTTGAATCTTTTTGGCAGATGGGTTTTCTCTGGCTTCGTCTTCCTTCTAATATCAAAATATCAACAAAACGTAAGTCGAGTGCTTTCACTGAATACTTAATTTTATGGGTAAATTTGGGACTAAGCACTAAACATTATTAAAAACAACGGAGTGTACTATAGAAAGTTAACAAATTTTAGTTTATAAACTAGTTTTTGCCGTATTGAAGGAAATGCAACACTGTTGAACAACAAAGAGAAGCGCTTAATCTCAAGTTTGTGACACAACGTCAACTGTGGCTAATCAACCACGTTGAAATGTGGAATTACAACTAATACTACATATGCTCATGAGTATTATTACAATTTTCTACAGTTATAAAAATAATCTTACCTTGTGCTTATCGATATGCAATGGTCGCAGATATGGATCGAAGAGTAACTTGTCGGGCACTATGTCTATTGGTGACTGACGCCGCCCTTTGTTGCACATATTCCATTGTGGATTGATAAGGCCCCAAAAACTTGGTCCTATTAAAATGAAATAATAATGCAAATAATTTAGTTATTAATTTTTACAATTAAAAGTAAATACTCTATAAGTATAATGAGTTTTTTAGTTTAGTTTTTAGGTTTTTCGAACCGCATATAAACACTAATCTAGTTTTGAAATTCACTTCAAATAGAGAGAAGACAACAGTGATTGAGAGAGTTTTGAAGGGAATTTGAAATGCTGAAAATATTTTCTGGCTGACGGAAGTATCTGAAATTAATATTTAGTTTTGAAAAGAGCTTAATAGATATTAGGAAAATTTACCAGAAACTTCTTGGTCAGAAATATCACTACAGAAATGTCGCCAAACGAATTAAATTGTCACTAAGAAATAACAAAAGTGTTGTAATCAGTTAAAATACAGATAAAAAATATCCACATCTTAGCTTTGTTCCATTGATTTATAAAATGCCTCTGGATAGAAACAAAAAATATCCAAATTATATCTTAGACGCGCCTACTATCCGAGGGCTTAGCACTGATGCGGATAATTTCGCTAGAAAGCCGCTGTTGTTACAGACAAACATGAAATTCTCAAATTGAGAGCATTGTAGCCATACATCCCCAATAATGTGGGGTCTATTTAAATTAGTGAGAACGGTGTAAGAATTAAATATCAGAGGTTTATTTGAGAAACAATTTGAATGTAGAGTATCCGATACTAGTTGGAGATATAAAGGATAGAGAGCATGTACGAGTAGTAGTAGATACATTGAAAATGTCAAGTGCAGGGTCAACTGGTGTGCTTTTGTGGACTCTATCAAAATTTCTTGACCAGTTAAGAAAAAGGGGATATTTTCAAAGCTCAAAATAGTGTACAATGGTTCGCAATATATATTCAAAATATATTTTTGTCCAAAAAACTTTTAACTCGAAATTTAAATGTTAAATTTTCAAAAAATTTTCTTTTGTATAATCTACAAATTTTACCCTCAGTCTAAGCAAAAAAAAAATTTTTTTCGCTCCACCCTAATATTAATATATATAATACAAAAAGGCAGTCATACTTTACATGTTTTATCAGAGTGAATTAAATCTACGCCTTTAAATAACCACTGTTAATTACTTTCAGTTTAAATGCAGTCAATGGCAAATTCAATGGCGAACATGTCAAGGCGGCAATGTGAAAGTCAGTCACTCACTGCGCGGAAGTTTATCCAATGTCAGTTGCCGGATTTGCAGGCCACGAACCGCAATTTGCTACGAACATCGCTAACTCCCAACTTCGGTGACAACAGTTAGGTGAATGAAAAGCGCTGCTGTATTTTATTCGTTGCCATCAAAGCGAACGCGCGCGCAAATGGAAATCTACGACTGGAGTAGAGCGAGTGCTTGCCGCTATAATGCATATAGTTGAGTGTAAATCGGCTAAATAGGGTTCTGCTATTCGGATGAGTCGGTTTCCTACATTTGCGGTGGCTTCTTGTACCACAACCAATATTTGCTTGTCAACTTTAAACTATCTGGAGGACGAATTGGCCTTAGTTTCCATGGGGGACAGCATACTAAACAAAATATAAGTGTTCAACGCTCAATAGTTTGCTTTGCTAAATGTTATTTCGTGGAGAAGTCGGTCAAAGCTTGTCGTGTGTGAAATAATTTTTAAACTTGCTTATTTCAAGTTTTTAGTTCATAAACTGAAGAGTGTTCTCTCAAGCTATCGACCCATCCTTATGCGATAACCCTTTATATATAATATATATACGAAACATTAACCGGCCTTTCACTGAATTTCCACAAATGCATTTTTGTACTTTTATAGCGGAAATATAAACTTTTTTATTCATTGCACGCATATACAGCTGTCATTTCTATACGATTCAGCTGACGTTTGTCGCTCATATTTTCGTCATACGCTGCATTCTCCTACTAAATCGCCCACCTGACGCGCTGTGTTGTTTTGTTCACGTATACACACACATACAAAAACAAGTAAACAAATAATTTTTGTCTGCACGCAAACTTCCCGACAGGTCACATGTCACTCACGTCAATTCAGTTGCGGCTTAGCTCAATTGTGGCAAATGCAACTACAAACACACCAACAAGCTCAATGCATAAACGAGTATACCTGCATATTATACATACAGACAAACTTACACACACATACACTTATAGATGTGAAAGCACTCAAAAATAGTCACTTGTTACAACCAAAGGGGGCGAGTGCGGCTGTAGTGACTTGTCAAAATGCGGTTGAGTCAGTCGCTTAGAATACCGTTATGCTGCACATAGTGCGGGCGGAATGACGTAGTGGGCGGCGTTTGTGGTGCGTGCAACAATCTTGTATGCAACAATTTCAAGTTTCCGCGCTTATTATTTCACTTTAACTATTGCCGCTGGGTTTAAATTTACAGGCAGTCACCGTGTGGCTTATAATAAATATTTACTTTTTGTGGAAATAGTGTCGACTTTTCCTATATTTGTAATATTGCCTTTTAGTCTTGGAGGTAATGCCAAATTTTAACGCAGTGCAGAACGTTTATTTGTAAAAGTTTAGAGTTCTTTAAGATAGCTTTTATCCCACATATCAACATTTATAAAAGTTTATATTATTTCCGAGTTTATATCTTTTCCACTTAGCTGTAACTTAAATGCACTTAAAGAAAAAGTCGCTTGAAACTAAATCTGGCATTCCAGAGCTGTGGACACTTTATCGGTTTTCCCAACAAAAGTGATATTTCAGGGGCTTCAGCTCCAAATGGCTAATATATATATTAAGTTTAAGAGAATCTTATTTATGACTGTCAAAGTTTTGACGCTTCCAGCCGGGTGGTGTATTGGTTGGAAACTGATATCGAGCCTAGGTCCTTGGTAATGATTTCTTCAAAACGATTTCTTAGTAGCACTGTGAAGTTAGACGCATATCTCTAGTGTATATACATAATTATTAGCAAGTTAAGCTAATGGTTTGGAACGGAATCGTTTTTATTTGATATTGTTGTACAAAATTTTCTCAGTAAATATCGAAAAACAGTAAAGAGAAATATCTAACATTTTCCGAATGAATATTATAAATTCAAGTTGAAACCACTAAGGAAGGAATGTAACCGCAAATGAAGTATTCTAGCTTTTTCAGCACACAGAATTATATTTGTCAGAAAAATATGTTTCATTTCATCACACAGATTGACTGAAATTTCGAGTAAAAAGTCAGCTGTTCACACTCAGGTCCACATGTTCGGTATCGAGTGCATTTGATAAGTTATAATTCGTGAGATAATATACCCCAAGGCCACTATTTGTGCAAGGTATTATTCCGTTATCGTCATTGGTGCTTGATATACATACATACTGTAAACTGAAATGTAAAGTGAAACAGAATATAAAATTGTGTTATATGGGAAGCAGGGGGTTCGCAGCCCGATTTCCTAAAGTGCTGCTTTTATATGTTCGGATATATATAATTTTAACCGTTGGCCGATAATTATATCAAATATTTTAACAGCGGAATTGTAGAAAGGCTGCTTTGTTAGGTACTCTACATTCGAAGCATTATATCTCATTGCTATTTTTTTTCAAATTACTGCGTTAGAATCGCAAATTATACGAATTTTCTTAAACTTATTTATTATGTTTACTGTATTCATGATTTTTATAACATTGCATTAAGTTTGTTAATTTAATGTTAATTTGTTTTTTAATTTTTATTGATGCACTTTTTGTAAAACAATGTAGAAAGACTAATATTTATATTTTTCACCGCTATAACTCCGCCATTAAATACGCTAAAGTGCACTAAACTGCTATTAACGAATCAAGCCCATATATGTTTATATTTTATATTTTGTTTTTCAATTTAATATATGATTTTGGTTATTAATTACTTGTTTTGCAATCAGTGGCCATTTTTTTTTTAATCAATATTCGAAATAAACGGGTCGCTATCCCGCATTCGTACCCATAATGTTGAAGGTTTGTGTGTATGCGTAGCTAATGTTCGCCGCGCGTTTTTGCGTTGTACCGTTTGATTGGTAATTTATGTTGCCGCACGTGCAGGTTATGATTATTCTCAATAACTGTCGCTTTGGATTGATGTTAATTGATTTTATGAAATGTGCGCGAACGTAAGCGGCAGCGAGTCCGTCATAAAAATCGCTGCATATATATTTATGGGTATCTGTAGATACAACAGGAAACTGAATGCGCCAAGGTGCAATGGACTTTGGACACATTGACACTCCTAATTGATTGAATTGCACAATTGTTTGTATATTTCGCATATATGCATATATTTATATGTATGTACAAATATATACGTATATGGTTAATAGAGTTGTTGAGATAGGAAAATAGTTTTCGTATTAACATGTGTTGGAATAAATTTATTTTTCGATCAGATATCTAATATTACTCCATATAACTTTATTTAAATGTGTTGCTGATGTACATAGTTTTAATTTAGGGCAAATTATATGAATACTATTCTATCAATAATGGACTCCTATATTGAAATGTGAACTTGTTTACCTTAAATTTCATATTTACATTAAAAGAAAAATTAATTTTCCACATGGTAACTCAATAAAGCTCGTATTTTCAGCTCAGAAATGCTTTTGAAATTATTATATACTATTATTTGTAATCTTACTTACCGGATATGCCATCATATGTCCACCATTCTTCCCAACTGGCTTTGATTCCTGCAAAGGAATGGATAGGAATTACACTTCAAGTAGTAAAAAATATATTTTTCTATTTGAATTTAAAAACGTGAAGTGAAAAATTAACTTTAAAGCAGAAGAAAATATAATATGAATGCTATTCGTATATGATTTAATATTAAAAAGAGCAACAACGAATATCATAGAGTGGGCAGCATCTTTTCAGAGCATTTCAGAGTCAGTATTAAAAATAAAGTACCATATATATAAGCACATATAGCATAATATATATGGAATATAGTATATATTAGGGTGAACAAAAATATAATCCACCGAGTTCAAAGAAAAATTGTTAGCTCAATTTTAAAAGGTCTCGTTTAGCATTCCATATAAATAACACGTGAAAAATCGTTTTTTATTAAAATTACCACAACTTTTAAACCGTTTATGATAAAATCGAGGATTCTTGTGAAGCACAAAATTTCCAAAAAAGTCAACCTCAGTGAAATTCAATTGAAAGAGTCGTATAGCTAAAAACTTTGAAAGAATACGTTTTAAGACAAAGTTAATAGTTTTCTTCCAGAATTTTTTGTATACCCTGAACAAGGTATATTAAGTTCGCTACGAAGTTTGTGATACCCAGAAGAAAACTTCGGAGATCTTATAAAATTATATATAAATGATCAGTTTGTCCGTCTGTGTACATCTCTTAAAAACGATATCGAACCACAGCTGTCATACAAACTGAAGGATCAAAATCAACTTCTTGTAAAGAAATTTTTTTATTTGAGAAGATACCTTCACGAAATATGGCGCAGATTATTGTCTCAGACAACACTATAATATAATATAACAAAATGTTCAGATCGGACTTTTATAGCATATAGCTGCCATACAAACTACATACGATCGAAATTAAGTGTTTATATGGAAACCTTTTTATTTGTGATAAGTATTATAGCTTTGGTGAAACTGATGTTAACGTTTTTCTTGGTTTTCTCTTTATATTGATTCATTTTAATCCATAAATTCTATAGATTAGTTATTGGCTCACCCTAATATTCTTATATATATTCACATCAATGAAATTTTCGAATTATTAAACTTCAACTCGAAAACCCTGAGATATTTGTTTCTCCAATATCCTTGATCTTCTCTTCTTATTACAAATAAGCGGACTCTCCACACGGCGCAATAAAACCATGTTCTGCTGTCCGCAGTCATAATAAAGAAATCCATTTAAAATTAATGCCAGACTTTCCCTCCTTCACTTCATTTGTACACAAGAATGTCAACAAGATCATTAATGAAGTACAGTGTTGCGCACAGAGTTCATGAATACACCTCACAAAAATTTAAATGAAATGAGGAAAAAAGTATTAATAATAAATCCGAACGTGAAAGCAACTTCGGCAAAAGCCAATTACAATATCCGCCGAGCATTTCTGTCATATGGCGATAAAATAAGAAATAAATAGTGCGCAATTATTTTTTTTTATTTATTTACAAAACTTATTTCAGCACTCGTGCCTTTCAACGCTTTTAATGATAAAATTTTGAATGCGTGGCTGTGTGTGTGAGTATTATTTATTTGTGCACTTTTACAGGTTGTGATTGCAAGCGATATTGCCGGCGGTTGGCGACAGCAGTGCATGAATTACAAAAGCGAAAGTAATCACAAGTACTTCTGCATAATTGTGTGTGTGTGTGTATGTGTGGGTACTTGTCACTTGCGAAGGCGAACAGAAGGCAGCTGGAGCTGGCAGCGCTGAAGTACGGCTTAACTTTAATGCCGAAATGAATTGCGCAAAATTATTTTTACAAGTAGTTTTTTCTGTGTTAACAAGTATGTGTATGTAATTTGTCATGTTTACCGCGCTAAATATAATTTATGGCTGCTTTTTACAGCGCTCGTAATGCAATAGCTTAAAGCATACGCAAAAAAAGCTTTGCAATGTCACTGTGAGCGCCATGTGACCGCGTAGATAAAAAACGCATAAAAAATAAGAATTTTTTTAAATTGATTAAAAAGAATTTTCGTAAAAAATCAGTTGACAGGCAGCGTGACAAAAAAGTGTGCTCGTAAAACAATAAGCGTGTTTTTTCCCAGATCATTTATTATTTCATTAATTATTAAATATTTGCATGTAAATAAGTAATCTGTAATATTGAACTCGATTTTCTAGCTTCTCGTGTAACTGGCGTTAGAGCTTTAATTTCATTCAAACGCCCGCGGTGAGCGCAATGAATCGCGGAACTGAGTGACACCGTGGCGTATGAGTGACGCGCGCCGCGCAAACACTACAAAACACACAAACGCACACACATGCAGGGCGAACTTTGCGGCGAAATTTGCATTTTTTGTTTGTGCAATTCTGCTTTGTTGATGCAAATGGAGTCGATTGTAAAACCAAATATTTGCACAGATTTTGTGAAAATTCAACTGCATGTAATTCATAGCGCAAAGCTAATAAAAAAAACGCGCTTTATTTGATTGTCTTTCGAGTTCGTGTGCGTTCGTGTGCGCTTGTGTGTGTGTGTGTTTGTGAGTTTTACACATGAGTTTGCAATTTAAATAATCTATTTTTGTGAATTTTTTCTTGTTGTTTTAGTTGCACTGTCGTCCCAAAATCAAAGCGAAATTAATATTTTATAATTTTTGTGAACTGACATTGAATGTGGAAATAAAAGTGTTTACATACTCATATATGACACAAACAACAGTAAAGTCGCCAATGTGGATTAAAGAGTTTTATTTGATTCGTGTACTAGAGAAATTGTTGCTGTGTAGCTTCATCAGATGCATTTCAATTAAAGCTAATGGCGCTTCAGAGTCTAGTAGACAATTGAAACTCAAATTTCAATGACAACTTGTTACTTTGAAAAGTGCTTTCACATAAAAGTTGACAAGAGTTCACAAAACTTGAATGAAAATATTTTCAAATAATTGCAAATTGAAGCTCTGAATATTTCTTACAATAAAGTGTAACATAAATATTTCATTGTTTGTATTTGGTAGATGTTTAGAAAATATAGTTTAAGCCTTTTTACAGCGTTCGTCAACTTTTAATTCGGTATGTGAAACATTTAATACTTTTTACACTTTCCAGCACATTCAGTTTTTTAATGTTTTTGGAACCTCAACTCAGTGTAGTTGTGTACATAAGTTGCTATGCCTCAGCCATATTTTTTTAAACAAAATCTTCACAGGGTCATTTCTTATAACACAAAAGGCTATAATAAGACATTTGTTTTAATTTTGATCGGCAGATCGACTTTGAATGGCAGTCATATGCTATAGCAATCCGATCTAAATAATTTGTTCGAAGCTTGTAGCGTTGGTTTGGACAGTAATCTCTGCCTACTTATGGGAAGATATCTTGTCAAATAAAAAAGTATTCCATATAAGAACTTCATGAACTTTCCGACAAATGAGCAGCTTCTTGGAGAGAAAAAGACGTGTGCACAATTTCAGGTTGATATTACAAAATCTGCAAAAAGCTTGTCGCTGATTACTTAATATGCACTATTCAGGGTATAATAATCAATAGGTAGAAAACGATATCGATAAGTTTCCGTTAATTTTGTCTACTTGCAACTGCATGAATAAGGTCTTGAAGTTTACTAATTTCAAAACTGGTGGCGGACCAAACTGCAAAACAAACCTATCAGTTTATGAAAAAAGGATTGCTTGAATGTCAATTGACAAAAAGGGGGCATTGATTGATCACCGATAACATCAGTTCTGACTCTCTCTAACTCTCGTTGACTATTTTGTACGTATACAAAATTTTCTCGAAATTATTGTTACACCCCTCGATAAACATAAGCTTGCAAAATAATGTAGAAATAATTTAAAAAAAAGCGCATGAAAGATGTTAGGGCATATGAATAACAAAGGGTCTAACTATCTATAAATATTTCAAATATATATCTATAAAGGCGATTATTTGGTTTTCATAGTTATCCAATGTTTACATATCGGCAGAAAAGATTACGCACCCTGTATATATTTATATTTATAGTGCTGAAAATTGTTTTGTTTCTGAATTTACTATTCACTAATCCATATCTCTGTAAATATGTATGTTTTTGCAAACCACGTGCTTTGAGTCAGGAAAATAGTAATGCATGAATTATTTGTTTTCGGAAACTAAAACAAAACCAAAATAAAAGCCAACTGTACTAAAAGTAAGCACTGTATTATTTACGCTGATGACAACAATCGTCAAAAAACAGTTAGTCAGCCAGCGAGCCAAAGAAACTCAGTATTACACATTCATTCATTGTGAACTTGGCAACAACAAACGAAGAGCTCCGAAAGTAAAACGAGAACTTAACTTCGCAACAAAAAAAAAAAAAAAAACAAACAACGAAATAATAAATAGGAAAAACAATCAATTTCAGGAAGATGTTGTCGGCAACATGGCAGCTCAGCGACCTGACGCGTCAGAAAGTCTGGCGCCAGCGAAGTTTTTAAGTTCTTCCTCAATGCCAATCGACACAATTGCGGCAATAATACAAAAGCACTTAAAGACACAAAAAAAAGAAAATGTGGATAAAATTCTGTAGTAAGAATTGTAATGCTTTTGAAGGAGGGTACTTCGCTTCTCCGTGCTCAGAAGAGGGTGGTTGTTAGTCGAACATAAATATGGTATGTAGCGACTACTCGTTTCATTACAACTGTATTGAATTAAGGTATTCTCAACTTATTTTATTTGAATTTGAGAAATTATTGCGATTTTAATTTTCTTGCGTGGAAATATTAAAAACGAAATATGAATTCGAAATGTATTCATTGAATATAATCTATTTATTTAACGGTTACTAAAATAAGAATAGTTGATGGCGTGGTTGTCTCTCCGGTTTAATTATTGTCTTTTACTTAAAATCTTACTTTGAAATCTTAATCCCCTCATATCAAGCACAATTTAGAGGCGTTTGCTGTAATAAAATAATACCAGTTTAGTTCTAAGTCTTTAACCATCGCAAATATGCATTTTAAAACAAAAAACAAATGTTCTCTTTAAATACACTTA